CCATCTTCTTTTCAAAGGTCACTTTGAGTTTCTGCAGCATAGTAGCCAGATCCTGCTTGGAAGGGAGATTTCTGAGTATTTCTTTCAGATCCTTGTCTCGATCAGTGTCAGATGTGAGTGATATGCTGTCTGATGCCGCCGGGCTGGAGGGTGCTGAGGATTGCTCTGCCGGGTCGTCCGGCGCCATGTTGGAGCCTGCGGCCTCATTTCGCCGGTCGCCCTGATCCTTGAAATATTTAGTTAGGTTGCTGGATTTAGCCGCGGAATGTTTGCCGACCGTGTTAGGGGCCGTTGAGAGGCGTTTGGGGTGTCCCATGTTGCAGTAGGTGCCCGATGGATGCAGATTGCCCTGTGTCTCTCTCGGAGCTGAGTTAACAAGCATCCATTCGCGCTCGCGTTTAGCTCCGCCCCCCAATATTTGGTATTTTTATAGAAATGTATAATCTTAAATCAGGAATTGTTAAAAAATGACAAGTGAACTGCAAAGTGTAGGCCAAAATGGCCACATTTGAAGAATAGCTGAAAGATGTGAAGAGGTCGAAAGCTTTTATTTTTTAATTTAGATATCAACAGTGGCTTTTCCCTTGTTAGTTTTCAACAATTCTTGATTTAGTGAAAAAACATTGCTGAAAATACCAAGTGGAGGAGCATTGCGCATTTGACAAGATATATAATCAAAATTCTTCTTAAACTTGCACTAATTATTTTAAGCATCCATTTTTGATGACAAAAAATTACTTCCTGTCAGCATATCATTATTTATGTTAGATATCTAAATATAATTGTAGGCGTTGTTTGCTTATCAGTAAATCCTTCCCCGTATACTATATTTACCTCAAGAGTAAGCATTGATGATTGCCATGACATTTTGAGTTCACAGTTTAAACAATATAATGCTGATCCAATATTTCAAGGCTCAGAGAGGAGAATCAAGAAACGCCTTTCTGTTATATATTGCCAGGCTGCATGCATCAGGCTGCATCACAGAGTGTTTCAGGAGCTCATACAAAAGAAGTTTTAGCTATGTATGCAGGACTCTGGGCACTGTTCATGGTGCTGAAAGTGTAGCCAAAGCTAGTTTCACGTTGTAATAATCAATCTAACATTTTAAAATGGGGCCTATTTAATCATTTTGTATAAGCTTTTCAAATGGTTTCATATTTTGTAATAAATGTAATTTTTTAAGTATTAACATATCAAAAAATAGATATTATATATAACATTCAACAATATAGAAACATTATCAAAACATTACAATATTTAAATAAATTGTAGATAATTTTGAATGTTTATCCAAAAATATTATATTTGGGCCTATTCGTTTGTAAAATTAATCAAGTCCTTAATATTAAGACATTCAATACTGATTGATTTTAATTAGAGCTTGAACCAGCACAATCCTTCCTTCTCTACAAGTTAATCCAGAGTTACTTTGTTGGTAAGAACAAATGTGTTCCTTATACTGTGCTGGAGTTTCTGTGTCCATGGTAAGCAAAGGTCTACTCAGATTACACTCTTGTTGTTATGTATTTATTTCCCAATTGTCTTCCAGTGTTCAGGGTGTTTCCCAGGATGCCAACATTATACAGTATTTTGATATTTTACTAACGGTGAAATGGGTTGAAGGATTAGGCCCCAGTAAAATGTATAGCAGTAAAAATAAGCAATAGGTAGCAGTGTTTATATTGCTTGTATTCAAATACATCAAGGAGGAGATTTGTTAAGGCAGGATGGTGCTACTGAGTTGCAAAAATGTTGGGATACATTTTATTGGTTGCAGGGGTGTTTAATCCTTATGCTCTATGCACCAAAAAAGCTTTTTGTCTTGCTAAATCTCCCTCCCATAAAAAGTGATAAAGTGTCAAAGTATCCCAGAGATATACAGATAGAAATCTAAATGGGGGATAACAATATTGGTAAAACCACACTTGTGAGAAAACACACACTTATTTGTGACACAACAGGATATTATACATGCACTCACCTTGTTTGGTATGCCATAAGGATCTGAATACATGTGCACAAAAATAGACCTGGTGCAATACAGTCATAATTCAATAGATACTGTGAAACTCTGTAAGAAATACATTCACAATTGTGGAGTGATTATAGTACGAGTCCAGACTATCGGGCACACGGAGGATCAAACCCTTGGGTACTTTGGATCCTAACGTGGGTTATCCGGATTCACCAACAACTGGAAGTGCAAAGATAAAACACTTTATAGTAAATAATATCAATCTTTAAAAGCTTTAAAACAAAAGAATAAAATCTCACTGCCTCCGGAGCAGACCAAAGAGTCCTGGGTATTGTGAGGTATACAGTCCGAGCATCCTCCCTGTATCTCCCGGCCAGTCTCAGTCTGTCCGCACGCAGGCACTTCCGTGTTTCGGCGTGATGCAGTACACTTCTGGGTTTCGGCATGATGCGTTGCTACGTGCTTCACCTCGCCTCTCAGGGCTTTCTCAAGCATAAACGGAATGTCCTACGATATTCCTTTATATAACTAAACATCATTCCTCTTAAAGTGCCCAAGTCCATATATAAATAGCAACATAAAGTGCTTCAATAGTTCTTAAATAACATTTATATACCTAAGCATATTTTCCATCAATATAAAGTCTGAACAAAATGAAGGAACATACACATTTCCTTTTCTCTGTGTATGTTCCTTCATTTTGTTCACATTTTGTCTGTGCTCATTTACATGCACAATAGTTTTCTTATATTTACACTGTGGGGAGTTGTGTTGTGTTTGGTCTCATCACAATCTTTTTGTGAGCTAGAGGTTAGAGACAGAGGGAAAGTTTGCATAGCTTAACTTCAATACTAAAGCTAAATAGTCAAGTTACAAATATAAAGTTGGAGAATTTCTCAAGATCAGCTATTTTTCCCATTTAAATGTTATTTTTCTACGATTCAGAGTTTTGTTCCGTGTGAAGGATATTTTCAGTACACACTTTCATTCACTGTATTTTGCAGTGGCACAATTCCATTTTGCTTTTAGAAGTTAAAACACAAAGAAGAATAAAAAAAAAGAATTATTATTATGGCTCGTTAACAAGCAGTTATTTTTTTTTTATATATACTTATTTATTCAGTTAGAGCTAGATAGTACACAGTTCCCTAATTGTATTATGTATTGGTGTGTTATTACTCATCAGCTAGCACAGCATGTCATTTTACTATAACAGTTTATTAGGCAAAGAGACACAATGCTTTACATCACCCTTTTGGCTACTATATCAGTTAGTATGTATTTTTTTATATAAAATGCTTATATTGGTAGTGAGAATGATTAGCAAAAGCAACTGGTATACAAGAGTATAGCCACTAATTGTTTTGCAAAATTTAAATTGAATTTAATGAGAAAATGTTATTCTGTGTAAACTTGGGGGGGGGTGTTCACTTTGCTAAAGTATAAAGGAGTAGTGGAGAAAAAGGCACAACTCCAGTCACTGGTGACACTGGTACTGCTGAAGCATTTTCTGCATGGTCCTAGCTGCAGTCACATTGTGCTGTCTGGGGACAGTTCCTTGGTGTCCACAAATACAGGACACCATAAAACTAAATTGTGACAGTACAACATAATAAAGGAACCGTCCCATTGAAATAATTACTGTGGTGGCCTGTATAGGTAGTGCAGGGATTAATGTACTTGCTAAATGCTTTTAATTGGCTGATAGCACAATGGTTCAGATGGGTAGAGGTATATTGGAGTGAGCTGCTATACAAACTCTAACAAAAGTCAAGGATGAGGCAGACATCTAAAAAACCTTTTCTGAGGTAAGTGTTTGTCAGTACCAACCTTTCCACTGTATTGTTTCCATCGGGGGTTATTCACTAAAGAATGGATTTGGTCCGGATGGAAAAAATCCAGTGAAATTGACTGATTTCCTATGGCATTTGTCGTATTTACTAAAGCTTAACGTGGTTGGAAATTAGTAGACGTGAGCAAATCAGCAGTAATCACTTGGATTGTCCAGAATGAAAGCAGTGCTTTCGTATCCGAATCCTATACAGTGTAGGATTTCGAACGATTCATAGAGCACTAATTTAGTTAAAATTCGGAACTGAATGCATCCAGCAGGATGCACATTTGCAAATTATTGTTTATTTGCTTTTATGCAGGCAAACAATAATTGTAAGTAGTATTTGCCTGCTGGCAGTACTAGCAGTCAGCAGGCAAATTGTTAAAAGCCTGCACGTGGGTTAATTATATGGCGGCTGGAGAGCACTTACTAGTCATCTGGCTCATTAAAAAAGTTGTACATTTTTTTATATAAAACAATAACTAAAAATACAATTTTGGGGTCAATAAGGCCCCCATATTAAAGCAAAGGAGGTTCACGTTTGTATTGTGTGATACTTCAATTTTTTTTTTTTAAGTTCTAGAAGAAACAGTGCAATTCTATAAAATAGTAATTTTGTGTTTAGATTTAATTCTTTGACTTGATTTTATGTAAAATAAATGCATGAATGAACAGTGGTAATTTTTTTAGTTTATTTTCTTAGGTCTAGTTTCTACCAGATGAGTGGTCTACCAAATACTAACTCTAAATTTCATTCTATTCATGTTTCCTCTAGCAGATGATTTAGTGCATCTGTCAGAAGCTACATATTTCAATGACTTACTCCAATTTGTAAGAATTAAAACAAATGTATTAACATTTAGAAACCCTCAATATAGCACAACCTGTTACCTTAGCTGTGGTGTCTTGGGGAATTTAGCATTTTGCTTCCCATCCATTTTTCGTAATATCTTAACAAGCAATACAAAGCTATGGATGGCAAGACAAAGAACCACCTCGAGCCATCTCACAGATCTACACTACCCTAATCACAAGCAGATACTTGCTAGCGGCCCCGTGCATCAGGAACTGGGAGGAAGACCTCGATGAAGCCATGACAGAAGAGGACTGGGATAAAAGCTTTACCCTGATACAAAAAACACAGAGCTCGGCGCGCTTGCAAGAAAGCTCGTACAAGATACTCTCCAGATGGTACCTGACACCGACGGCGCTCCATGTCAGGAACCCAGAAATCCATTCTGGGAAAAGATCCAGAAAATAATACATGAGGTCACGGACAAGCTCTTACCACGGTCCCCAGCCACCTTCCTTCTCCATCACACCACCATGACGTTGCAAACGTACACAAGATCCGTTATCCCCCGACTCCTAAATGATGCCAAGGCGATGATCCACATCTACTGGAAGCAGACCAACACACCCTTGCTAACACGCTGGGTGGAAGAGGTGGAAGCAACAAGGAAGTTCGAGGATATGAAAGCAAACACCCCGCACCACAGAGACCGCTACACCAAACGCTGGTTCCACTGGACGAAACTGACCACATCCGACTCCTTCAGACACCACTTGGCCGCACTATAACCGGAGACAGGTGGAGGGGAGGACGACGAACCCGGGTGGACAAGAGGGGGAAGGCGGGACACGGCGAACCGGACAGGCGACGGGGGAAAGACCACTAACCACCCGACCCTTCTCACCCCAACCCACACCCATCCACAATACCACGCCAAAAAGACAACCGCAGGCACCGGAGATGGACACGACACCACCAGATACGACAATGAACGTATGCCACACACACATAGTCACCCATCCGGCCACACTCATGGGCAGCAACGGCCCGGTGCATCACTACCACCCTAAAGCACGACCGATAACCTAAAACCACTTATAACCACTCACCGAACCTAAACTCCAACCTACCCAACCCTCAGACACACATACAACGACACACACGACATAGACTGAACGAACCAGGACGAGATCGAACAGGACGCCACACTGCTGGTGGCACCACAGGCCATAGATGGGCTAAACTGAGGAACAAACCATAGCACTGACAAGGTACCTTCACGCAGGCACACATATGGACGCACTCCACATACACACAGACCACACAAACAGACGGCCCAACAGCACAAGCCACCAAGAAGGGACGTACAATAACGATACATAGATGACACAACACAAGACAGCTGAGAAACTACATTATAAGCTAGAACCCACCAGCCAAGACAAGAAGCATGAACACAAAGCTACACGAAGACTCAGACATTCAACACACCACATACACATAGCACACACACATGCGAGGGCAATCTACAAATAGCCCAGCACAAACAAAAAATGCCTCAAAGCTACCACAAAATAGATATTCCTGCAGCCACACAAAAAGCAGAATGCACCTGTCCAGGAAAAATAGCAATAGGCCCCACTGGTCACAAACACTGGTACAGACACTCAAAAACATACCCGATAACGTAACCACAAGGACTGAACACTATCATAATAAGAGCTACGATATGTGCACATCCAAACATGAAACTAAATGTTGTAAAACAAATGACCTGATAACTACACCTCTGCGCAGGCACTTACCCGCTGAAACACAAATACGTTTGCGTTGAATTTTATGTTGTGAAACCAATAAACATATTCAAAACAAAATGATGGATGTATAGACAGAGAGGGAGTGAGAGAGAATATTTTAATCTACAGATACTGGAAAACATCATAACATACATTCACTCACAAGAGGCACTATGTGACACTAATTTAGTCTCATGTTGTGGTATGTATTCTTTTAACTGGTAGTAATATTTTTTTTTCTAATTTGTTCAGATTTAAATTGAATTATTCTTCCTCGTATTTAAAATAGTGTCTATAAAAATGTGAGATAAGAATTAGGAGAACATTTTAACGAGACATATAGAGAACCCCAATATTTAGCCTGCCCCTGCTACTAGATTTTGCTTTTCCATCTTTAATCTAAATTAATTTAAAATTTTTATTAATAACTAGAATAACTCTTTTTTTGTAACTTTGCCTTCCAATCCCACTTCTAATGTTTTTGAACAACTACAAATCTGTAAAATTCATATTTGAGAATGAAATGAATTCCTTGCATCTAAACATACGTTATGAAAACTTAAATTCTGTCCAAGTGAAAAATAAAAACCATATAATTCTCCCTCATTTGCTGAACCACAGAAACAGCTGAATATACATTTGTAAAGGAATTGGACTAAAACTTGGTAAATAGATTATATTCTGTTACCTATGGGAGACGTATCACTACAGTACATATTCTCCCATAGGCTATAATAGAAAACATTAAGATAAACCAAATGCTGTTATTATGTTTTAACAAAAAATAGAATATAGCCCAGGGAAATATATATAAATTGATCAGCAAGTTGCCGGGTTTTCAACAGATCTTTTCAATGTTCAAATTGGTTTCCATTCAGACAACTGGTCTCTGGTATTCCTTAAATAATGGTCCGAATGAAATCCTTATTAGACAAAATGTTCCAATTTTTTTTTATTAACATACAATTATGATACAGACAATAAATGAAAGTCAGTTTAAGAGGAAATATTATACAGTGCCTTGCAAAAGTATTTACCTCCCTTGACTTTTTACCTATTTTGTTACATTACAGCCTTAAGTTCAATGTTTTATTAATCTAAATTTTATGTGATGGATCAGAACACAATAGTCTAAGTTGGTGAAGTGAAATGAGAAAAATATATACATAAAACTATTTTTTAGAAATAAAAAACAGAAAAATGGCATGTGCGTATGTATTCACCCCCTTTGTTATGAAGCCCATAAAAAACTCTGGTGCAACCAATTACCTTCAGAAGTCACATAATTAGTGAAATGATGTCCCCCTGTGTGCAATCTGTCACATGATCTGTCATTTCATATACACACCTTTTTTGAAAGGCCCCAGAGGCTGCAACACCTAAGCAAGAGGCACCACTAACCATAGAAACATAGAATGTGATGGCAGATAAGAACCATTCGGCCCATCTAGTCTGCCCAATTTTCGTAATACTTTCATTAGTCCCTGGCCCTGATCTTATAGTTAGGATAGCCTTATGCCTATCCCACGCATGCTTAAACTCCTTTACTGTGTTAACCTCTACCACTTCAGCTGGAAGGCTGTTCCATGCATCCACTACCCTCTCAGTAAGTATACCAAACACTGTCTGAGTCAGCGCTTCTCGAGCTGTACCATGAAAACCAAGGATCCCTCCAAACAAGTAAGGGACAATGTTGTTGAGAAATACAAGTCAGGGTTAGGTTATAAAAAAATATCCAAATCTTTGATGATCCCCAGGAGTACCATCAAATCTATCATAACCAAATGTAAAGAAAATGGCACAACAGCAAACCTGCCAAGAGATGGCCGCCCACCAAAACTCATGGACCGGGCAAGGAGGGCATTAATCAGAAAGGCAGCACAGAGACCTAAGGTAACCCTGGAGGAGCTGCAGAGTTCCACAGCAGAGACTGGAGTATCTGTACATAGGACGTCAATAAGCCGTACACTCCATAGAGTTGGGCTTTATGGCTGAGTGGCCAGAAGAAAGCAATTATTTTCAGCAAAAAACAAAATGGCACGTTTTGAGTTTGCGAAAAGGCATGTGGGAGACTCCCAAAATGTATGGAGGGAGGTGCTCTGGTCTGTTGAGACTAAAATTTAACTTTTCGGCATTTAAAGAAAACGCTATGTCTGGCGCAAACCCAACACATCACATCACCCAAAGAACACCATCCCCACAGTGAAACATGGTGGTGGCAGCATTATGCTGTGGGGATGTTTTTCAGCAGCCAGGACTGGGAAACTGGTCAGAGTGAAGGGAAAGATGCATAATGCTAAATACAGAGATATTTTTGAGCAAAACCTGTACCACTTTGTGCGTGATTTGAGGCTAGGACGGAGGTTCACCTTCCAGCAAGACAATGACCCCAAACACACTGCTAAAGCAACACTTGAGTAGTTTAAGGGGTAACATGTAATGTGTTGGAATGGCCTAGTCAAAGCCCAGACCTCAACCCAATAGAAAATATGTGGTCAGACTTAAAGATTGCTGTTCACAAGCGCAAACCATCCAACTTGAAGGAGCTGGAGCAGTTTTGCAAGGAGGAATGGGCAAAAATCCCAGTGGTAAGATGTGGCAAGCTCATAGAGACTTATCCATAGCGACTTAGACCTGTAATTACTGCAAAAGGTGGCTCTACGAAGTATTGACTTTAGGGGGGTGAATAGTTATGCACATTGACGTTTTCTGTTATTTTGGCCTATTTGTTTTTTGCTTCACAATAAAATAAAAAAGCATCTTCAAAGCTGTGGGCATGTTCTGTAAATTAAATGATGCAAATCCTCAAACAATCCATGTTAATTCCAGGTTGTGAGGCAATAAAACATGAAAAATGGCATGGGGGGATGAATACTTTTGCAAGGCACTGTATACACATACATAAACTCAAATTTGTGTCTCCAAGTCTTTAGGATTCAAAAGTGGGAAATGAATTGACATAGACTGCTCCCTGGAAACAATCATAGGCAATCATAGGAGACACTCCTTTATTTTATACCCTGCATGTATACTTACCTTTGTATGTAAATGATATTCTTTCTTTTTGCTAATGTTTGCGTTAATTGTAGGCTTGTGCATTCGTTTTCAAGTGAATTGTGGTTCGGCCAAATGTTTGTCGATCGGTGATTCAACTGAATTTGGTAACTTTGAATATGCTATTTGGAGGAATCATAAAAAACAAATGATGGGTGGGGGCTGACCTTCAAGCTGACTAGACGTGTGGCACAGGAGCTCCTGCAGAATTGCTCCAAAATAGAGTATTTACTCCAGCTTTACCGCTGACACATCCAGTCCTGTGCCCACACTAAGTCAGGAAATCTTGGTCAAGCTATCCGTCAACCCTCCCGCAGGTTTACACTGCCGGAAGCCGGAGAATACTTGCTGCGGCCTACCGGGACAGAAACAGGGAGAGGTAGCCGATCTTCTCACCCTCGAGTCTGTGGTTCGGACCAGTAGCATTTCAGACATCCCTCCCCCTGGACCGATGGGGGAAATCCCGATTCAGCCTAGCGAGACACACGCGGGCAGCAGGAATCAGCCGTGAGTAATTACACACGGGGTGCGGAGTTGCCATCAAGCAGGCTCCCTCGGTCTGTCGATTGGCCAGCAGAATCTAGATTACAGCCCTAACACTGCCTGCTTCATTAGCAACGGCAGAAGGGCGATCCACTTAGGCATGCAAGGCTCACCACTCATAAGCCATTTGCGGGCCTCAGAGTGAGCGAGTCCTACACTGGTAAAGTGGTATCTAAGACTATTAACATGTAGAACGTAATTACAATTCCCCAGGTCACCCCTGGTGCTTTCACATCTAATTCTGTGTCTGGTTTGATTGGTCAATATTATCACATGTTCACCTCTGATTTTATGTTATGGTGTTTTATTGCCAGCATCAACGTTTGGGATTCACAACCCACATATCCCACATAGGCTTAACAGGTCAGGTGCAGCACAGGGCCACCTGGTGGCCG